CCAGGTGACTTCTATGGACTCCCCCTGGTCCCAGGCATGGACGTGTTTTTTTTTTTTTTGTTGGAGAAGCAGATAGTCTCACTTTGTCCACTCAGGGCTGGAGTGCAATGCGCCGCGGATCTCAGCTCACTGCACAACTCCGCCTCCCGTAGGTTCAACAGATTCTCCCTGCCTTGGCTTCCATGTAGTAAGATTTCTTATTGGGTTTTGCCATCGTATTGATGCTTGCTGATTTGTCGAGACGTATGGTTGTTTGTGGTGTGTGGTGTTGTGTGTGTGTTGGGACTGACCTTTCCACCAAGTAAACTCTATTTACCTTAGGTGGTCTGCCTCTTCGGGTTTCCAAATGTGTTTTTTCGGATTACAGGCTTTGAGGAGCTGTGACCTGGTTGGCCGTCTCTGGTGAGGTATGTGGGTTGAATAGGCCGTGTGTTCAAGGCTGGGATCATGGTCTGGGTGTGATCAGTGTGTGGTGTGTAGAGGTGTGAGGGTGTGGTCTGTTGTTTAGCAAGTATTTTTTGGGGCACTGTTGCTCGTTTTACTATTAGTTTGGATGATTCCCGCCTTGTGTTGTATCCGCTGTTTTTTTCCAGGTGGACTTCTCAGCCTAAGGAGGAGTCAGGGAAGGCCTCCTGGAGGAGGTGACAGTTGGCTGGGTCACTAAGGGTGAGGAGGAGTTAACCAGGCCAAGAGCCCAGTGAGCAAACTGCAGAGAAGAGAAATTGCCAGGGTGCTTGGATGAAAGAACCACAAAGCCAGGGCTGTAAGATCCAGAAGAGGGGAGAGGAGGAAGGGCAGAGCTAGCCTGCCAACCTTGAACAAGTATTTGGCATTATTTAGAGCTCAGGGAACAGACTGCAGGGGTCGAAAGCAGGAGCCTGGAGACCAGGATGGAAGGGACTGCACCAGGATAGGGGAGAAATGATGGGGCCAGACCAAGTAAAGGCATGGACGGGTGAGACTTGGCTGGATCTTGGAGAGGTATGGAGAGGCCCGGGGGAGGGAGCAGCTGCTCATGGCAGAGCAGCTTTAGGTACAAATCAGCAATTTGTTCTCAGCATCTGGAAATTGCAATGCCACTAGACACCCAGGTGGTACGGCGTAGGATGGGCTTTGAAGCAAGCTGGGAGCTTGGGAGACAGAAAGAGGGCAGAAGGAAAACCAGGAGTGGGTGGCAAGCTGGGAGCCAAGGAAGCTGGAACTTTCATAGGAGGAAAGGATCTTGAAACCCCTGTTTGATAATTCAGTAGCAGACATCTTACTTTTTTTTTTGGAATGGAGTTCCGTTCTTGTCGCTCAGGCTGGAGTGCAGTGGTGCGATCTTGGCCCACTGCAACCTCTACCTCCCAGGTTCAAGCAATTCTCCTGCCTCAGCCTCCTGAGTCGCTGGGATTACAGGCGCATGCCACCATACCCGGCTAATGTTTGTATTATTAGTAGAGACAGAGTTTCACCATGTTGGCCAGGCTGGTCTCGAACTCCTGACCTCAGGTGATCCACCTGTCTTGGGCTCCCAAAGTGCTGGGATTACAGGCGTGAGCCCCCGCACCCAGCCCGTCTCACTCTCTTTTGTGACTGCTCTTTACCAAGCCTGTTTTCGTCCCCACGCCTTTCAGTACGGGCTCTTTTCTTTCTTTGTTGTTTTTTGTTTTGTTTTTTTTTTTGAGACAGGTTCTGGCTCTATCGCCCAGGCTGGGGTGCAGGGGTATGATCTTGGCCCACTGCAACCTCCACCTCTCAAGTTTAAGCAATCAGCCTGGGACTACAGGCATGAGCCACCACACCTGGCTAATTTTTGCAATTTTTGTAGTGATTTTGTAGAGTTTCGCTAGTTCGCCAGGCTGGTCTCACACTATTGAGCTCAAATGCCTCAGCCCCCCCAAAGTGCTGGGATTACAGGCATGAGCCACTGCACTTGGCCTCTTTCTTTCAAAGGCAGAGTCTTGCTCTGTCCCTCAGGCTGGAGTGTAGTGGTATGATCATAACTCACTGCAGCCTCGACCTCCTGAGCTCAAGTCATCCTCCTACCTCAGCCTCCTGAGACCTGGGACCATAGGCATGCACCACCATGCCTAGCTAATCGTTAAAAATTTTTTTGTACAGCCAGACGGGGGTCTCACTATTTTGCCTGGGCTGGTCTTGAACTCCTGGCCTCAAGCAAGACTCCAGCCTCAACCTCCCAAAGCACTAGGATTATAGGCATGAGCCACCGCACCTGGCCAAGCACAGGCTTTTCTTTGCCATCCTTGAGTAGGCCCCTCAGACCCATCATGGCTCTGACCAGAGTAGCATAGAGAGGCCCGGCGCAGTAGCTCACGCCTGTAATCCCAGCACTTTGAGAGGCCAAGGCGGGCAGATCACCTGAGGTTAGGAGTTCGAGACCAGCCTGGTCAACATAGTGAAATCCCGTCTCTACTAAAAATATAAAAATTAGCCCTGTGTGGTGGCATGTTCCTGTAATCCCAGCTACTTGGGAGGTTGAGACAGGAGAATTGCTTGAACCCAGGAGGCAGAGGTTACAGTGAACCGAGATCGCACTACTGCACTCCAGCCTGGGTGACAGAGCAAGACACTGTTTCAAAAACAAACAAAAAACAGAGTAGCATAGAAGAGACCTTCCCCTCCCTGAGTCTGGACTCTATACCTTTGTTAATAGGATGCTGTCGCACACACATACACACACTGAACTGCCTGGAACTCGGTTCAGCTTTCCCTCCCTACCTCCTCCCGGACTCCTAGAGACAGATTTTAGTCCAGGGTCCCACAACACTGTGTCTG